ATTACTGTTTTCTAAACAAAATACATTTCGTCTATCTCGTCACAGTTATGGGATCTGTTTGAAGACAACGAAATACTGATGGAACATTCGTCAAAATGACGCTTACTTAACACAGTTTTGTTTCCCTTATCCTACAAAACTTGAGTACTCATTGAAAATAAAAACAAAAAACATTTTTTTTTTTGCTGCCTTTTCACTAATACCTTGTTTTTGCTTAATTATATATTATATGCATATAATATTAGAGAAGTATGGAAGCAATACGTCTCGTTTAAACATCCGTCAGCAAGAAGATTTTATGCTCATCGCTAATTAATGCTAACACTTTTTTCCATGTATCAAAGTGTAGCAAACCAGGTCTCACTGTAACACTTGAAATTGATTACATTAAAGAAATAGTGATGACAAAGGGACTTATAATAAGCGATTTCATGAAAAAGCAGATCTTTATCTAAGTTGAAACTAATTTTAGGAAGTAATTACGAATGTGGATTAACTGACCAGTAATTACAGGTATTCAAGCTAATGCACAAATTAGTGTCATTTTAGCGTTTTTGCTCAGATTTAGATAGTTTTTTATTTTCCTTTCTCTTTGCCGTAATCAGAACTTTATTTAGTGATAAATTTTCAAAAACACGTCTTTCTAATGACAGCACTTCTGTATTAATTAAACAGAGTTTATGTTGGAAGAAAGCAAAATTTAAAGAAATATCTGGTAAATTTGTTTAAAATATTTCTGCTTCAATTCAGGCTAAGCTTTTTATCACTGAAAATACAATTATATTTCACTGTGATGCTTGCTTCCTACCAGTTACCACTGCTCTGTCAAAGAGCTTCGCTTGTTTAAAAGTAATATAGTTCGCAAAAAATAAAAATAAAAAAAGTGCTGTAATTATATAACTTCAGGCAACAAAAATGTACATATATACGTCAATCAATCATGTCTTTGCAGTTATATCTATTGGAGTAATACTATTGATGGTTCCTTTAAAATTCGGTAATTATATACTTCTTTTAACCTTCTCAGAAATTTTCCCAGAAAACAGAATTGTGTTAGAAAAAAATGGTGTGTAACTTCGTTTTTCTGCTATACACTCAATTAACCGAGCGTTATAGGCGTTTTATAAGCGTTGTGACAGTGGGAATACGGGTGTGAAGATGGCAGGTATGTCTTTATTAGAAATTTGTTTCCGACGTTATTATCGTTTCTGCAATTTGCATTTTGCTCTACAATGCTGCTCCTTTTTTTTCACGGTTCATACTTTAACGGCATAATACGCTGTTGGATGTACTTTAAAAACATTTTATACAGATATTTTACTTTTGCTAACAACTATTCAAAACACTAATGGGTTAA